ATGTTTACTGTATGCATTGCTCCTTGGAGACATTTGTTTAAAGAATTAAATAGTAAATATAATACAGTTCTTTTGGAAAGGACTACACGTCTGAGAAAAATGGAAAGTTTTCCATTTTCCCATTTTTCCCTGAGTTCATGGTAAGGCACAGACTCACCAACGGATGGAAAATTTTGTTACGTCAGAACTAATTCAGCAATGTCTTTTAATCTCCCTTTCAGCGCATGAATTCTAACCAAACTATAACAAAGACCAAAAATTAACTAACATGAGAGTAAAACGTTTTTCAAAACTGAGAAATTTAAATTTCCCATTCCTAATCCAGTACTTCCAAATCCACATAAATGACTACTGGCGATAACATGCTATAGAGGATAGGTGTGCATGTGATTCTTCTCTACCGTTTTTCAACTCCTGGTAGTTTCAGCTTACTGGAAAACGCCAGCTTTCACTGCGACTGTCAGGTTACAGTAAATGGTGCCTGCAGTGCAGCACAATACAGACGGCATTGTGGACACAGCGTGACCTGAATGCGGACGTGACGGATGAAGTGAGTAAATAGTTTTATTTGTTTTGTGGGAGACTTGGTTTTCTCAGGAAGTGACAGACGGAGGAGAAAATTACAGTTTAAAATCTGCTAGAGCGACAAAGCAGGTGGAGTTGAGGAGGAGTGGGAGATTCTTGGCAGGTGATGAGAGACAGAAGAGATTGAATTAATGATTGTGTCTTCTCTCACATATTTTAGATTGTGATTCGAACAGTTGAACAAAATGTATAACCGGTGTGACTGAACGCCCTGTTTATACTTGTCATAAATCACCTTTCGGTGACTCATCTCACTGTAAAATCACATTTTACAGCATCTGCAGACAGATATTGGCAGGAGAATATCAATAAAAGGAAACCTATGTGAGCCCCACACAATGAGCTGATCTGTTTTAAGATGTTCTGCTTAAGTGTACCTGTCTTATCAGGCATTTCATGACTTAGGGTGATCTGAGGGGAATGACAGTTGCAGCCTTCAGGCAGGAAAGAACAACAGATTGTTATGATGGACATTTATAGATCTTAGCATAAACAGGAGTAACCTGGTCACCAGGTGCTTTCTGAAGCTGCTGCCTTTTCATTGGCACTTTAAAAACTACCCTTTGAAATCTTTTAACAAAATTATAAATATGCTCAACCAGTCATTTGTATTAAAACAAATAATTTGGATAAAGTAGATAAAAAAATTCTAAAGGAAGAGTAAAAATTCTGTTATTTTGAACTCAGTGTATAATTCAGACATGGTAACAATGTAAATGTAACATAAACTTTAAGCATATTGGTTTAGTAGAAGAGCTACTGTGTGTATTGATGTTGCCTGCTGAGGTGGGGGAATTTATCTCTATGTTGGTCTGGTTATTTGTTCCAAATAGTTTAATAACCATAAAGGCACAAATAGAGCCAAAACATGAACATGTGTAACACTGACAAGTAATTATGCAAAGAATCAATTGAATGTGCATGTTGTCATTACATCACAATATGCACAATACTTCATTTAATTTTATGCATTAAAACAGGCACAATATAATCTACTTTTTTTTGGATCACCATTGGTACTTTCTGCACAAAGTGACTTATCTTAGTTGATTCTGCCTCAATTCTCCATGAGACGGTGGAGTTAGAAAGGATTGTTGACCTGGTGCAGTCTTTGTTTCTCTTGCGTTTTGTGTCAGAGCACAAACAAATGTTGTTATAAAGCAAAAGTGAAAGTTCTGTGTAAATAATACGTAAGAGGTAGAGAATAAAAATGAATGTGTACAGGTAGTCTGAGGATTATTTAAGGCATGTTTGGTGCATCATGTAGTCATTTCTTCTGTTGGCATCTGAAAAGCAGCTCTTTTGACCCGGCTGGTAAGATTGACACTAAGACTAGTGTCTAGTCTCAAAGAATAACATTTCACCTACCTACTATATATATATATATTTTATTTATTTTTTTTTTATTAATCCTACAAACATGTGCTCAAAGTTTTAATTCCCAGCACAATGGCAGCAGCAGACGTACCTGGAAGCCTGGTTGGAGGCAGAGCCACCAAGGGACTGCTTCTCATCTTCACTCTGCTGAGTCTAGCTTATGTCACAGACTCCTTGGAAGCTGCAGCGACTCTGGTAAAACATAAGTACATAAAGTTTACTTCTTAAGTTTTCCTTATGATGGCAAAATTGAGTCATTATCATGACAAGAATGATAAAATATATTTTATGTTCTGTCTGAAGAATTACAAAACTTGGAAAAAGAAAAATAGTCTAATTGTGAATGTCTCTTCAGCATTAGGCTAACTTATTTTTGTTTATTTTTTTCTGCTTATAGAGTTTCCAATTTTTTTAATTTATGTTTTTTTTTGTCACTCATTAATAATATAGGGTCAAATATTCACTGTATTCAATCCTACTATGAGCAAACTCTTACCAAGTATTCGTACACCTGTATATCACTTTTTTCTTAATTTTTTTTTAGGAAATTCTCAAATCATACGATCAGGGTGGACTGGAAGAGGCAGCCAACAAGATGGTGTGTCAATGATCTCACAGTGATCTATTACTATAAATAAATGTGATCATAATTTACCATAAAGAATAAATGAAGGAAAATTTGTCCATATTTTACATGAATGTATACCTGCAGACCAAGATTCTAATACAAACCATTTAGAAGGATGCTGTAAAACAATTTTGCTAATTCAATGTGTTTTCCATTTCCCCCCCCCTCCCCCAACAGGTACAACTGGACAACGATCTTACAAGTTTTGTAGGCTATTTTCAGGAAGACGTTGACAAGATTGCTGCTCTTGTAAAGCAACTGAAAGCCATAACACAGTGGTCTCATTACCTGAGAGAACTCCCAACAGTAGTCACTGACTTTTTACATGGAAAGATTCAAAAGGCCAATGATGATGTAGAGGCTTACCGAAAGGAAATGGAGGACATCTGGGCCTACATTCAATCAAAAAAAGAACACAACCATGAGATGTTATAGAGCTTAAGTGAAATCCTCTTATGTTTGTTTTTATGTAAAAATCAAGAATGAATGACCAATTAAAGACAATCTAAGATGTGTTAGGTGTTTGTAAACGGTTGGCGATTCTGTGTCTTTGTAATGAAACTATATAGATCTATACATATATCTATATCTATAATTATTGAAAAGGAAGTTGAGGGATGCTATCTGAAACATTGGTCTACCTGCATGGGGTTGTACAGGTGAAAATGATCAAAAATGACCTTTTGTCCTTTGAATTGTGGCTTTAAAATAAATATTATGTAAGTAAATCATTTGATATTGTTTCTGATCATTTTTTCCCCCAGTAACTTGTGAGAATTTTAAATAAATCAGATTTTACTTTACTCCAATGTTACAAACATGTTAAGAGCAGATTTATTAGACTACATCAGTTCACAGACCAGTACATCTATGTCCAAAGAGCCATAATGACCCTTACAAATATTGACATGTCTTCAGATTTTCTGTTCCTTTCTGAAAAACAAACAAACCTGTGTTAATTGTTGTCAATGTGGTCTTCGAGAAATGGATGCACAAAGAGATCTCCAGGATCTCTTCCCTCGACTTTTTCTTTTAGGTTTCTGTAAAAACTAACCAGATTTCTATTGTGATGAGGGAGTTATGAAGGACGGACTGGTTTTCAGGCAGTTAATTTTTTCATTTGAAATGAAAAATGAAAAAAAGAAAGAACAGAAAAAGAAAAAATAGACTCGCTTTTTTGTCTTTTGTACATTTTTTATTGATCTTGGCCTTCATCGTCCTGGCAACCTGAGTAACAACATTTTCTTCGTCATCATCATCTGCTCTTATGTTTTTACTGTTCTCTGCCAGCCACTCGTAATCATGTCTATGATGAATATTGTGACAGCATTCAGGAAGCTGAGAGCAAGTGTGGAGTGAAGTTTGTGTGTGACACACCCTGACACACCCAACGCCAAGCCACAGCACAAAGTTGCTTTTGGTTTTTCCCACTGAAGTTCTCACAATGAAAATCCACATCAGTTTCTCAAGACTGAAGTCAGTGGAGAACATGTATGTGTACCTGATGACTTTATTGGTCGTCAATCAGGAAATTCACAGCAGGTGATGAGGGATAGAATTCCTGTCTCCTCCCAAATGTCAATTGTCTCTCAAATTCCTTTGATTTGGCAGACGACACTCACAAAATGTGTGACTTTGATCTTCCCATTTATAGTTCTCTGAAATCACCTTTGCTGGTTTCACCTTACTGTAAAACTGCATGCATGAGAATGTCAAAAAGAAACCGACCTGACCTCAACCCTGATTGCTGTAAGCATTGTGTTATGAGTTTGTTTTTATATAAAAGACAGGAATTGTATCAGTCTCATCATGACTTCAGTTGTTCTAGGATACATGAAAGCATCAGTAGAACAGAACAGAAAAGTCTTTATTGTCATGACACAAGTGCAAGACGAAATTATTGCACCTGTCAATGTCAGGAAATTTTAATGAATGAAATGAAAAAACTGTAAAAACTATCCATTAAAAAAAAAACGTACTTAGACATGTAAACAGAATTTAGGCAGAATTCAGGACCTGGCAGCTCATGAGTAAAAACGTTCTGCTTTGTGGCAGAGTGTGGAAACATCCATCTCATCTATGATGTGAACAAAAATAAAACAGACTATTGTAGATTTCAGGAGAAACAGGATTACATCAAAAACTATTTTCATCATGGGAGAAGAAGTGGAGATGGTTGAGGGATGCATACATACCTTGGTGTTCATCTGAACAGAATTTTGAATCAATATGAGTTGCAGCAACATTTAATTTTCTTTTGGGATCAATAAAGTACACTTGAATTTGGATTGTGTTCAAATTCAAGTCACTATTTTTGAGTGAATTGAATTGCTTCCTCAATGGGAGCTGGGTAAACAGATGATATCTGGGGTTTAATGTATTTTACAAGCTCTGCTTAGGCAACAAGCTCTTAAACCTATGTAGTCGCTGCCCGCCGTGCGGCGTACAAGCATGTGACGCATTAATAAGGCTTCGTAATAACATGGACGCATACCGAGTTTTCATTTCGACTCTGTTGGACAGCACGGACTTCAAACTTTATAAAAGTGGTGTTTTTATATTGGTTTTGTGGTTATTTACTTCAAAATAAAGCCAGAAATAAGATCGATCATTTCCGCCTTATTTTGTGGGGTCTAAATGTACCACATTTCGAAACAACCAATAAAAATGTGTTGACAGTCTGTTGCTAGGTAGAACGGAGATACGTGGGAAGAGACGAGGGGGGGGGTTGGATACGGCAAGAGACTAGGGCACAGTGATGCTGTGGATTTTACTAAGAGTGTTTCGATGGGTTTTTTAGACGATAAGTGTGTTAGTTAGAGTTCGTGGTGTGTGCAGGGTTAGTAGTAGTTTTGCTAGCTATCGCTACATGGCTTCATAGCGAGTGCTGACGCACAGAGAAGAGAGACTGCGCGCTGGGATGGCCAGTTAGACCTCGTCTTTATTAATAATGTCAACCACACTGTGTGAAAGAGTGATTTGCTGTCTGCTATCCTGAAGATATTTTTCTTCAAATAGGGACAGAAGGCCTTCTTACCCTCTGCAGAAGGAATCCTGTCTTATCCTGGCTTATTAGCACTGGTTCTGTAGTAGCCCCGCAGAATGAAATCAGCAGTGTCTCCTCCAAGTTGATATTATGAAGATCCTGCAAAGACTGCCTTTAAAATGTATTTTAAAACGCCAAAATGGTAAAATACGCTCAAAGAATTGTTCTGTGACAAAATCTTTCACATTAAGCCCAATAACAATAACTTAAAATAATAAAATTAAATTAAATGTTTAATTAAAAACAATTAAAACATAATAAAAATAGGGCGCAATTATAAAGTAGCAGTAAAAAAATGCTATTTTGAAAATGTAGATGAAGTAAAGATGTTGCTGTTTCCTTAGGATCCACCAGTGGTACTTTTTCCACCAACAAAGGGGAAAAAACTCATTTAAACTCATAAAACTCATTAAAGATCCCTGCGGGATCTTTAATGTTTTTTAAGTGTTAATGAAATTTGAATTGAATCGTCACTCTAAATATTTTTGCTCAACTTTTGTTTTGAGATTAAACAATAAAAAGAATAATTACAAGAAGTTTGTCTAATTTTTAACATTTTTAAAAGTAACTTCACATGTTTTTGCAAATTGTGGATCTTCCAATAGGGGCAGATCTATTGGATCGTGGATCTTGGTTGGACTGATGCTTCCTTCATTTGCCTCAACAAGCCACATTTTATCACCTTCCTAAAATAATGGCCCAAGTCATTTTTGCCAAAAGTCTTTTTTTTCTCCCTTTTTTTAATGACAAAAATTGTAATAATGACTTAGGCCATTATTTTTAGAAAAGTGATGATTTATTTTTCCACTTTGATCTTGTTTGAGTATTACAAAAAAACATCAATTTTTGAGCTTTAAATCATGTTTTAATGTTATTCCCTCATCAAAAACATTATCTCATGCATGTTGAATTTCATTTTCTGTTTGTAAACACATACTTAATGAGTTGTGATTTTTTTTTTCATGCAGAATCAACACATCGCTCATTAGACACAATGACTTAGACCATTAGTTTATGCAAATGTTGTCCTCTCTTCACTTTTAGTGTTGTAGTACTTTGAGGTAAATCTTGTGAATAAGAATTTTTTCTTACTGATGAAATAAAAGTTAAACTAACTGACACTACATTTGAAAATTAAAACTTGCAAGCGTTGCCAAACCTTCTACAACTCTGAAATCCAGGGTTTGAAAAACGGACGGTGGAGACAAAAAAAGATGAGTGGGATGATAATGATTTATTTAATATTGCTGATCATCACAATTGTCTGAAATAAATTTACCAATAACAATGTTCAAAAATCAAATCCACATTCCTAAAAGATGATATATTTTGTATTAATAAACCACTTTAAAAATTGCCACAGAAAACAACATTATTACAAATGATTTTATATAGATTAGCATGATACAATTACATGTTATATTTATGACTTTAATTATTACACAGTTGATCACAGAATTATTAGCCAGAAACAAAATCAAATCAGAATCAAAATGTCCGACGCATAACCCATTTATTTCATCCCTCACCTTTATCTTTACTGATTAGTAGCTTTATCAAAAACAGAGAAAGAGACAAGCAAAAGAAATGTTCCATATCTCAAGTTCACAGAAAGCAGTCACCAACTACAGCTCATCATGGGCCTCTTCTTGGAGTTCTACTACAGCCCAAATGGCCTCAATTTCCATTTCAGCAGCTTTCTTTATTTTTGCAAATTTAGTCTTCTTCTGGGCTAAAAACTTTATGATGACATCCTGAAGTTCTCGCAGTGACTCAGAGTTTTTGGTTGCTGCTATCAGTCGTCCCAGAATCGGATACAGCTTCTCATATTGTTTTATATTATTTCTTTCCTCCAATTCAAGAATTGTCATGAGTTGTGCCTAAAGAGAAATTAATTTAATTAGGCGTGGAGCATTTCATCAACCATGTAAAAAGACAAATTAGGTTGAATGCATTATGTGAAATATAGAAAACAAACCTTCTTTTTGGCTGCTTGTTCTATTCCGCCCTGGAAGTATTCGTGTAGAATATCCTGAAAATTAACATTTTTAAAAAAATGATATATATAATTAGAGATAATTAATGTAATTAGAGAGAAATAAAAACACACACTTTAAAATGAAGAATTTTAATTTCTTGTTGACATAAATGCTTCTGTATTTGTTTTAGTTTTGCTAAGAGAGATTCCTTAAATTACTGTTTTTCACTCCCATCATTTTGAAACATTATCTGCAGTGTTTTAGACACACACACATTGACAGAAACAAAATTTTAGATCTCAAAACAAAGTAGGTCATAAATCTATATTACCAGATGTTCTTCATAAATCAGTGAGTTTGAGAGATTGATGAGAGCCAGCAGGCTGAAGAGGAGCATCAGTCCTGTGGAGGGTCTGAGACAGACGACCATGATTACTGGAATTAAAACAGATAAAAGTTTAGATAAAATTAATTAAAGAACATCGGAGCTGGATCTTTTAAGTCTCTGTTAACAATGTTATATAGAAACTTTAATTGTTCAATGACAGACCTTACCTGCTGGATGACTGACAGAGGAGATGATGTGCAGATAAAAACCAAACTAGTGATTCGACAGACTACAGGTGCTTTAAATACTCTTCAGATCACCTGTCACCTGCTAGACTCCACCTATGTGAACCACGTCTTAGGTTTCACTATTTATCTTATTAGTTCAGATTTTGAAAAAGTGCATCTTCAGTTGTCATGAACAGAAAATGACAGCAGCACAGAGGCTTGCTTAGTGTAATGCATTGCTGCTTGGGGTGTTTTTCAAAGAAACAACAAGTAAATAAACAAAGTTCTTTGTAAATAAATAAATAAATGTAAAGTCTAATGTAATAATATCACATTCTATTACTGACAAAGATACAGCAAAAACTAGAGTTTCCAAATTAATGCCCATTTTGTGTTAATGTTGTATTTTCAATTTAGGTTTGCATGTTACTCTCAAAGGAAATCACTCCTGGCAGCTTCATCTGAATATAACCACATTTTCTGCCACCACATAACGAAAACGAGAAACTGTTCTAAGTTTGGCACAGTAACATGACTGCTCCTAATATTTCACGTCATCCTTGATCTCTCTATGTAACGGACACAAAGTCTTGATGCCTTGACTCTTTTTTTTTTTTTTTCACCACTGCAGATGCAGTTTAGATGGAAAAGGGTAAAACCATCTGGATAGATTCTTCCATCTATCCGACTGGTGGAGGATTGCAAGAGCAGCATTCAGTACCAAGATCTCCAGGTCTTCCTCTCTCTCCATCAACTTATTATTATCATAATGCTATAATTATTTCATGACTTAATTATAATAATATGATACTGAGATAGTATCTCATAGTAAAATGATAATGAGATACTATCTCAGTATAATTTTATTATATTGAGACAGTATCTCAGTATAATGACATAATTATTATGTGGTAACTATAATGATCTAACTACTAAACATGAACAAGTATAAAATGACCTAACTACTAACGACACAAGGACAAAGGTTGAGCCCATGTCTTGCGAACTGACTCTCTGTTATTTTGGCTATTAGTTTGGATTATTATCCCAGTGAAAAACACAACAGAAAATCATCCGTTTTGCTGCAGCAAAAAAAAACTTGGCATTTTGATTTCATTTCCTGTTTTTAAAGTCAGACTAAAACATCTTTAACTGCTTTGCAGAATATGCTCATTGTGCTTTGTATATTTGCAAATGTTGTCATCTCACCATTTTTTCCACTTTTATATTTACCATCTTTAGACAAACATTGTGAAGAGGATAGTGTTCTTAGTGGGGGATTTTTAATCAAATAAATATTGAACTAACAATATATCTGAAACCTAAAAGCAAAAGCTTGTGAGCATGAGGACACTTTTCAAATTCTGAAATATGGCGGCTTTGGGAGGGAGACAAAAAGGATTGGAGAGACGATAATCCCACAATTTAATATGATTTATTTAATAATAGAGCAGATCATCACAATTTGGCTGTAGCAATTAAAAAAGTTAAAGAGATTACATGTTTTTTATTAATGAACTGTGTCAAAAATATCAACAGAAAACAACATTATTATTATAGAAGCTCTTGCAGATTAGTACAATCAAAATACAATTAATAGTTGTGTTTTTGATTAATACACACTTGATCACAAACAGAAGCATTAGCCTGAAACCGAAAGTCATTGTACTCCCACCAAACAAACAAAAGAAAAATGTTACATATCAAACATTTACACAAACCAGTCGTAACACCAACTACAGCTCATCACGGCTGTCTTCTTGGCGCTCTATGAAAGACCAAATGTCCTCGATCTCCTTTTCTAAAGCTTTCTTTGCTTCTGCAAACTCAGTTTTCTTCTGGACTATGAAGTTTATGATGACGTCCTTGAGTTCTCGTAGTGACGAAGAATTTTCGGTTGCTGCTATCAGTTGTCGCAGAATCGGATGAAGCTTCTCTATTTCTTTGTCATTATAGATTTCTGCCCACATAAGATCATTCAAGATTTGTTCCTAGGAGAAATTCATCTCATTAGATGTAAAATGACAAATTATGTTGAAAATATTCTATCAATTACAGCCAACAAACCTTCTTTTCAGCAGCTTGTTCTATTCCACCCTGGAGGTATTCCTGTAGAATATCCTGAAAATTTACAAAACAAACAAAACTTCTTTTATTTAAGGAGATCATGTGAACATTTGATAGCAATACAAACACCACAATTTACAATAACAAAAAAGTTAAAAACATGAAAATGTATTTGTTTTTTGGTTTTGTTTTACTCCCATTCTTTTTTAAGTATTGTCCTCACTGTTGCAGATTAAGAACACACACAGTGATGGAAATATGAGCTTAGATCTCAAAAACAAAAATAAAATAAAATAAAAATCTGCATAAATCTATATTACCAGATTTTCTTCATCAAGCAGCGAGTTTGAGAGATTGATGAGAGCCAACAGACTGAAGAGGAGTATCAGTCCTGTGGAGGGTCTAACATGGATGACCATGATTACTGGAATAAAACACATAAAAGTTTAGATAAAATTAATTAAAGAACATCGGAGCTGGATCTTTTAAGTCTCTGTTAACAATGTTATATAGAAACTTTAATTGTTCAGTACAGACCTTACCTGCTGGATGAATGACAGGAGCTGATGTGCAGATAAAAACCAAACTAATGATTCAACAGACTACAAGTGCTTTAAATACTCTTCAGATCATCTGTCACCTACTAGACTCCACCTATGTGAACCACATCTTAGGTTTCACTATTTATCTCATTAGTTCAGATTGTAAAAAAGTGCATTTTTCAGTTGTCATGAACAGAAAATGACAGCAGCACAGAGGAATGTTTAGTGTATACATCACAGACAAACGTTAGCATCTAGATAAAACTTAAAACGCCCTCTGGCATGCAATCGATTCTCATTAATTGAGGCTCCAACTAATGAATTCCACATTTACTTAAGTGTTTAATACATTATTGAATTGTTTAATAATGATAAATTAATGTATTTACAATCTTAATTAAAATATCAGCTAAATCAATATTTATTTCACGTCTTATTCAGGCATTAATTTGTGGCCCTTCTGTCCCCTGATAAAAAGGAGTTTTTCAAAATGCTGTGTTTAGCGCCACCTTTAGGCAACTGTTCAAACTGCACCATAATCATTAAATAAAACTGCAGAACGACGCAGTTACCTGTAACATTCAGTTATGAGCTGAACCAAAACCTACGGAGCCCTCCAGGGGACATGGGGAAATGTTTGCGTTCCCTCGCAATGTTGTACTTATCAGTTCATGCGCACAATATAAGGTTATGTAAGGTTTTTCCATGAATGTTAATATCTCTTTGTGAAATATCTGAAGTTTTATATTTCTATCTTTCTATCTTTGGGATAGAAAGGCACCACAGACCTTTGACATAAACAGAAACTTTCCGTAAGTAGGAAAGAAATAAAAATAAATCCTAATTTGAACTATTTCTGCGTTATCCCGGGGTAATAAGTGGTTGTCTGAATGGTTTAAAGCAGTGTTTTTCAACCTTTTTTGAGCCAAGGAACAGTATTTTAATTGAAAAAATCTCAAGGCACACCACCAACCAAAAATGTAAACAAAGATACTCCCTTAGTCGCCTATATTACATATATAGTCATTCTTATCAAAGTGTCTTGAATAGGAATCAAATAAACACAAAAATGTATTTTTTTTTTATCACATTTTACATTTCTTATTTCAAATTGCACTTAACATGTCCACTTCAAAAATACATCTGAAAAGGGCCACAACACTGTGGTCTTAAATTTAAAGAAGTTGTAGAAAACTTCAAAGTGTTTTACAAACTAATCCACAAGCATTATTTAAGCTGTAATACAGAAAATAATTCTTATTCTGAAAGAAGCAATCATATTTGGGAAAGATTTCACTTCATATTCACTGTTACAATATGAAGATTTGCATGTACAAAATGTCAATATTTGTATATTTTACCCACCTAGTGTGAAACCTGTGCATGTTTGGATGAAAACAGATGATTTCCTGGCAGAAATTGAAGAAAGACAAAGCTCTTCCTGAACAGCTCTCAGTCTCTCTGGTTTCAGTTTTTATAGTAGCCAGGCTTGAGAAGCTCACTTCACACAGATATGTTGTGGGAAATGGACCCATGTTCTTTCTAACTACTGCTGAGCTTCACTGTCTTTTCCATCACTGTCGTCACAGCTAGATACGATGCTCTCACCGCTACCTGTAACATTCATGCATCACTAATTCTCTTGTTTTAATGTAAAATGCTCTGTACCTACTGCCATCTAGTGGTAAGAAAATTACATGATTACGCCGCCAGTCACTGCAACAGCAGACACTCAAAGATGGCATTATTTGCAGATAATTCATTTTCAAAAATCTTTTAAAACCAAGTACTGTATTTTTCGGACTATACGGCGGACTACTAGCACCTTCAATTTTTTTGGAAAAAAAAAAAAAAAAAAAAAAAAAAAAAAAAAAAAAAAAAAAAAACTGGAAGCTGCTCTCGGTTTTTCACAAGGACCCAGCAGAGGGCTGTGTCCTAATAAATCAGCTGGATTTATTAAGGACGAAGCCCTCAGTCGTTTACACCGAGCTTAAGTGCAGCGGCTGTATTTCCCACCTGTAGTGCCAGATCGACAGCCCTCAACATATGAGTCTGAAAACATTTCATTTAAATCGACTTTCAATCAGTTTTGTGCACCAAAGAGTTAACAATAATAATAATAATAATAATAATAATAATAATAATAATAATAATAATAATAATAATCATCATCATCATCATCATCATCATCATCATCATCATCATCATCATCATCATAATAAACATGCTTTATTATTATAAAACATGGCAGGTGGTAGAGGGCCGCACTGGGTTTACTCGGGGAATCTGTCTGTGTATCAATCATCTCTAAACCTCTTCTTTGTTCGGTCATAATTATCGATTTATTCCATTTTGATTATCATTTTCCAAACTTTGCGAGGACTGACCACCTCGCTCATCCGCTTCCTCATACACACAGAGCCAGTAGCACGCCAGTAACCTTCCCATTCATACTTCACGACGTCACGCCCACCACCAGGTGTGAAAGCCTCTGCTCCTATCATATCAATGATTACTCATTTCATTCATATGGCTCTTATAGAGCCTCAGTGAAAACGTGTTTATTATTATAAACTCGTTGGTGCAAAAAACTGATTGAAAATCGGTTTATTTACTGCATGTTTATGTCTGTTAAGCTATAACCTGCAAAAGGCACAGAAAAACGAATTCTGGACAATTATACAGCTACAAATGATAAACAAGCTACCGGCCATGAATGACGAGCTCAACTTGTCCTAGATAAACCAGTGTTAGACTCCAGAGAATCCATTTCCTGAGCTGATTGAAACAAAAATATTTCCAACAGGTTTTGGTGAACGTCCATATTTCAGCCGCTGAGCATCTCATGACTTATCGCATCGTAACATCGCAGTAATTTTGCTCTGCAGCAAACAGAAAGTCTCTTCAACATATCTTCAGTTCCAGGTGCCCAAAAACAGGAAGAGCTGTTCACAAGCCGCTGCAGTCAGAAACCCACATAAATCCTCAGAGGCCGGTTGCAGAAGCATTTTGCAACCACATGCTTCTCCACTAGTGCCTGGCAGACGCTAGAGGGCGCTGTAAACCAGCACAACCAAGTTCAACAGCAGCGCTGTCTCCCTCATGAAAGCACAGATACACTCTTCTGTACTCTAACTCAGATCACAAACCTCCTCATCCTTCTCAGCAAAGTTCACTTGTAACCATAACGACACCTCACACATCCCTGGTTTTCCTCTTGAGTTATCCATATCCGAAATGATGTAAATGCATGTATTATTTGGATGTTTTGTGTATTTTTCTTTAGTTCCAATGTCTGAATGAATGTTTACTGTCCTGGAAATTTTTAGGAAATCATCCTGTTAAAGTTTCAGGACAACATAAATAAACATTTCTCCTGTTTGGCTCATCATACAGTCCACGTTTTAAGCTTTAGCCCTGCTTATATTTAAGTTTGACTCCTCAACTCCAGACTGTGTCCCGTGTTTTGTCATTTGCTCTCTTCTCTTCAGCTTGCCCCAAAGGTTTTCTGTAGGAGTTTGAACTCTGGACTGAGATGCATGTGGAAAAAGGTCGAGTCCATGTCTTGTGATTCAACGCTGTTCATCCGTTTAGACTTTCATCCCAGTGAAAAACATTACAAAACTCATCCACTTTGATGCAGCAAAAATCTCCACACTTTGATTTCATTTCCTGTTTTCAAACACAGACTAAATTTCCTTTTTAACAATTGTTTTCATGAGTTTTCTGTCATCTCACCCTTTTTCCGCTTTTAGATGTTTAAACACTTTCAGGCAAATATTGTAAGAATGAAACTGTTCTTGAAATAAAGGTATAACTTTGGAAACTAAAGGCATGAGAACACCTCTGAAACGACCGGGTCCTGAAAAACGTCTCGTTTTGAGCTTTAATATAAGTTGGGAGCGAGGCAAAAAGGATTGGTGAGATGAGATGATAATCCCACAATTTAATATAACTTACTTAATAATTTAACCATCCATCACAATTGCTTTACATATATTTGGCAGTAACAATTAAAAAAACGTTAAATCTACATAAAGTTTACATGTTTCTTATTAAAGAACTGTATTATTTGAGTTGACGTTTTCATACATTAGTGCAATCAAATTACATTTTGATTATTACACACTTGATCACAAAAAGCCTGAAACAGAAAATCGTTACACTTCTACCAAACAAACAAAAGGAAAATGTCACATAACAAACGTTCACATAAACCAGTAACAGCACAAACTACAGCTCATTACGGCTGTTTTCCTGGAGCTGTACTGCAGCCCAAATGTCCTCCATCTCCTTTACAAAAGCTTTCTTTCCTTCTGCAAACTTAGTTTTTTTCTGGACTATGAAGTTTATGATGACGTCCTTGAGGTCCCTCAGTGACGTGTTTTCGGTTGCTGCTATCAGTTGTCGCAGAATCGGATAAAGATTCTCAATTTGCTGTTCTTGATGGTATTCCGCCAACAGGAGTTCTGCTGTGAGTTGTGTCTACAAAAAATGTGTTTCATTCGACAAGAAGCACTTGATTAACCAGGTAAAATGACAAATCATGTTGAATACATTATGTGAGCTGCATTCAACAAACCTTCTTGTCGGCTGCTTGTTTTATTCCACCCTGGAAGTATTCATGTAGAATATCCTGAAAATTAAAAAAGTTTATGTAGTAAAATAGTAGTAACACACGCACTTTACAAGAAAGAATTCATGTAATTCCTTGTTGATGTAAAAGCTTCTGTATTTTTTATTTTTTTTACTTTTGCTAAGAGAGATTCCTTAAATTAGATTAAGGTTTGAAAAGCACACACATTGATGGAAGCATGAAATTACATCTCAAAACAAAACTTGGTATGAAGCTTTATTACCAGATTTTCTTCATAAATCAGCGAGTTTGAGAGATTGATGAGAGCCAACAGACTGAAGAGGAGTATCAGTCCTGTGGAGGGTCTAACATGGATGACCATGATTACTGGAATTAAAAGTTTATGTAAAATTAAGTAAAGAACATCTGAGCTGGATATTTTACGTCTCTGTTAGCAAATGTTATACAGTAACTTTAATTGTTCAGTGGCAGACCTTACCTGCTGGATGACTGGCAGATGAGATGATGAAACCAAACTAATGACTCAACAGACTACAAGTGTTTTATGTATTCTTCAGGTCACCTGTCAGCCGCCAGGCTCCACCTATGTGAATCACGTCTTCAGTTTCATTATCGTTTATCTGTTCGGCTTTTGAGAAAGTGCACCATCAGTTGGCATGACAGAAAATGACGGCAGCACACAGGAATGCTTAGTGTGATGCTCCTTTGGGGTGTTTTTCAAAGAAGCAACAAATAAACACAAGACCATGTTTTGTAGAAATGTGTTTTAATTCCTAATTGAATTATATCCCATTCTACAATTAACAAAAATATAGCAAAAACTGGAGTTTCCAACTTAAAACACATTTTGTGTTAATGTTATTGCTTCCATTTAGGTTTGCACATGGTTTTGGGTGTGCCTGTTACTCTTCTATTCAAGGAAATAAGTCCTGGCAGTTTCATCTTACAGGAATATAACCACATTTTCTGTCACTACATATCGTAAAAAAGAAACTGGTGGTAAAAAGGCACAATAAAACGACTTTTTCTAGTATTTCACATCAGTCCATTCATCAAAGGCATTGTTTTAAGATACTGTAAAAACAGTATCTCAATTAAATGAATTGATGAATAAAATCACAAATGTTGATGCTCTAACATGGTTTTGCTTTAGATTCCGGCACAGATCTTCAACTCCAACCAAAACCTGAAATATATCTGAAAGGATTTGAACATATCCTGCTCTTACATTCACAACCAATGCATCACAATTTGAGCATTAAATTGTCGTTTTCTACCATACAGATCAGGAACAGCAGCATCAGACTTGAGTTGTGCAAACAGGCACTGCTGTTGAATGGAGGCTGACTTCAGGATAGATTTTAATTGCATATTGTTGTTAAAAAATAAAAAAGCAGCAACATGCAG